TCTCACAGCTGTCACCATCGCTGGCTTAGCAGGATCCAATGAGCACTAGATGCCTTTTTCTACGTCTGTCGATCACTCGCAGTGCCAAATATACTAACCTCATCCCGTCATTCTAGAACAGAGGCAACTTCAGCGTCAGATCTGTTAATGTCACAGTGGTTCTTAAATGATTTGCTTAATGCATTTCAGGAGCCATTCAGGGTTAGAAGCGGCATTAAAAGTAATGTAGGTGATATCATATAGTGTACGTATAGTACGTGCTATAGGAGTCAATGTAGCCGTCTTTCTTTGACGAAAGAAAGTATTCGATAGTGTAGCAATTGACAAAGATTTTGGCTTTGGATATCTCATTCAATGTATTGTATCCGCGAGATGATTCGTGGTTAAGAGGATTCTACTGTTGTGACGTTGTTGACTGTTAGGGTCAGCTCTCCCATTCTTTAGGAAAGATGGAACAGGTGGAGGCTTGCACAAATCGACTCTTATTCTTAGGACTGATATCCCTTCGTTTCTACAGAGGCTAACAGAGCTGAAAGGAAATCCCTATTCTCGCTGCTGTCCTTACGCTGTTCATTGGGAAGCACGGAGGAATAGAGGTATTTGAAAGCAGTGATTTTCTCAGAGGGAATGTCACGCAGGAAGATAGGATTTTCTCTTGTTGCGAGATTTATTCGGGAATATCTCCGTTTCTTGTTACATTGAATGATCAGCTTCAACCAGGTAATTGATTTGCTAGTTCAAGGATATAACCACTATGTTGTCGACGTAGTCAAGATTACTGACGTAGCGAGTAGGCTATATTCTGTGTCACCGCAATATTTCATTGTTGTTTTCATGCTCTGATCAATTCAAATATTCCTACTGTCGATTATCTGAGTTTGTGACATTATTCGATAGTGAAGATATCCCTGGAGAAAGTATGGAAAATTGTCGAGAAGGGATGATCTCGTCGAGGAAACAGACATTAATGTTATCGTCGTCATCAACGAGTAACAGAACTTGAACAGCGCATATGTATCGTTAGAAATGCATCTATCGGCGGTGCCGAATCTCCGTGATACCCGTTAATTTGGCTTGGTGCGCAGAAGCAAAGTGAGGTAAGTCCGTTACTCAATAGAGTTAAAGTTTAATAATAGAAAATCCGCGTTATGTGTGGCGTTCGAACTCGGTATCAGTAAAGCGTAAAGTTTACTACTACCAGAATGTGCTACAGTTGTATGTTGGCTATTACAAAGATGAGTCATCAGGTAGGTCAAGGTGAATTGCTGTTCTAAGAGGTTCTGACGTTAGAAAACATTGCTACGTGTCTACGAATTTCTTCACTGGCTACAACGTGGGACGAATCTTTGGTGAAATGAATTCAGACAGTTAAGAGACATTTTTTGTGTTTGCACCTCTGAAAGTTAAAATCGACCTCTCACCATTGAGGCAATCGAAATATGAAGTGAACGGTGAATGAAACCATTTGAATTTTTGTATTTTTTACATTGTTTAGGCTCATTTAAAGGCGCGTTTTTCAACAGTGATTTTGCCTGGCTGTTTCGTTGGGGAGACTGAGTGACGGATTCTATTTCGTCACTTCTTTACCTCGCCACAGCTGCGGATCTGCTGACAGGCGGCCGGCGCGTCGACAACAAGTCACAGTCGCAGTCGTTAGAGAGGGCTATTCGTTCTTTGATCGAAAGCTGTCGCGCTGAGGCACGTAAAAACAGAACGATTTACTGGTCGACTAGAAACTCATTTTTTCTTCTGCTTCTTCTTCCTGAACGACGTTCAGACTTGTCTGTGAGCTGCATCGCGTCTCCAAACAGATGGGCGTTTGTTGTGCAACGGTGGCCGCAGTGGTCGCCGCCGACGACGACCATCGCTCTGTTTTACGGTAGGCAATTTCCCTCACACAGGTCGTTGTCAGTTTCGAAACTTAGGCAGTAACTGAAGAACACTAAGGCGAAAGCGAAACACAGAATTCGCTGTCTGGCTGGACGAGACGATTCGTCATCGCCCCGCTAGACTGCAGGAGGCAAAAGAGCAAAAGCACTAAGCCGCGTAAGCACGCCAAGCTTAGAGCAAATATACTCGCATAGCCTCGAGTCTGGCGTGTACTCAGCACGTCCATGCGTAGTGGCCGAATGGTTTGCATACAACGTGTCCATCTTCCCTGTCCATTGTTGAACACGTAATGGTCATCGGGAAACAGCCGGTTCCGTCCGACCGTGGTACGCAACGCTGCAGTTAGGGTTACTGTCAGTGCTATAAGAGGAAAACGAACAATTTTCTATTATTAAGGGATGTGACGCGGCTTTCCAGTTCTGTCATCAACGTTCTACGCCAGGAAACTGAATACATTATACGCCTAGACGGCGATACGTCGCTACCTATTCGATGACAGACGATTACGGTGACATCGCCTATCTCTCGACACAGCACGAGTGACACTCGCATGCAATATCCGCTCAGAATATCGTTGACACACATGCCGTGCAATCCATAGTATTTGAGGGTGGCTGAAACAGGGTTAATAGTACAATCTGAAATCGAGCAGCAAACAGTTCTATACCATATGAGGACGATCAATGACAGAACCAAATATGTTGCATAATTTAACTTTGGTTTGTGCTGCAACAGTTGCATGAATATTCTCACCGTCTAATATTCTGAGGGATGCAATGAGCAGCGAGGACTATCTACAGAAAAACCTTTCATATCACTTGACTACTGTAAGACAGACAGAGTTGAACCAGTCTTATGGAACTTCGCTAAGGTAGCAGCAATGCCTGGTCATTAAATTAGATGTCATGTGATGAGCTGTTTTACTGATGCAATTGTTCAAGTTCTCATTTGCCCAAATTCAGAACTGCATTCAATGGCGCCTTAGTCG